TCAGACTACTACTTAGTTCTCCAGTCTGTTCTTTTGGGTAGAGGCTGACTCCATGGTTCCGTGCAGGCGGGGTCTGATTCCAGCTTCCTTTTCTCTTCTGCTCTTGCATTTAGCAAGCTTAATCTGTTGTGTTGCTTATGCCATCAGTGCTTCCCTGAATGAAAGGAGCCTCGTAGGTTCCATCTGAGGCTCACCAGCTTGGTTGTGTGTACCCTTTGTGCAGTCTGCTGGTCACCCATCCTGGACCACATGGTCGGTAGGTAGAGGCTGTTATTCCTGTCCATTTAGTGAGAGCATTGTGCACCGATGGGGCCTTTTCTAATTTGTTAGGCCTCGAAGGGGAAAACCATTCATTCTGCTCTATAGAGCCGGGATGGGTAGCGAAGTACCTGAGGACTTGGAACTCAGTTACAAGAAAACACTTGATTAGCCCTGGTTGGGTTCTCTTTAAAAGCCAGGGCAGGGGGCAGCCTGGGGGGCTCAGCGGTTTAACGCCGCCTTCAGCCCAGGGCGTGATCCTGGAGACCCGGGATCGAGTCCCGCGTCAGGCTCCCTGCATGGAGCCTGCTTCTCCCTCTGCCTGTGTCTCTGTCTCTTTCCTCTTTCTCTCTCTCTGTGTGTGTATCTTATTCATAAATAAAAAAAATCTTAAAAAAAAAAAAAAAAAGCCGGGGACGGGGGTTGCCTGGGTGTCTCAGTTGGTTAGGTGTCTGACTCTTGATTTTGGCTCAGGTCATAGTCTTGAGGCTGTGAGATCAAGCCGCATGTCAGACATGGAGGCTGTTTGGGATTCTCTCTCTCCCTCTTCCTCCGTCCCTCCCACCCCACCTCCCTCTCTAAGAAAGGAAAAATTCGGGTTTGGGTGTGGAAAACAGAGACCTGATGAGTCAGTTTGATTTAAGGGGAAACAAAACTGTTGTTTCAACTCAGTGCCTTTTTTTTTTTTCTTGTCAGTGTGGGCTATAGACATTCTTGCATTTTCCCACTGGTTTGAAACATGTTTGCACCTGGGGGTCAGTGCCTTCAAATGAAGGCCTAGTAGCCCATTTGGGACTTCCAGAATGTATTTACTTGCTGTGTGAGGCTTTGGGTTGATGTATCCTGGAAAGATGAAAGGGGAGAAATTTGGTTCTTTTTAAGAAAGAGATACTAGTTCTAAGATTCTAAGGCTCAGGCTAAGGCCAGGAGGATGGATGGGGAGATGTCTGTGGTGTGGGTCCCTCACTTAGCTGGTGCCACGTGTCCATGGGGCACATGAACACACATTCCCTCCACATGATCTTTCACTGCATCTGGCCAGACACATCAGAGTAAAGCCCACAGCAGCCTCTGGACTCTCAGCAAGTCGAAAGTTGTGGGGTTTTTTGTTCCTGGTGTAAACCTGAAACTCATTTCTTGCTTTCTGCACAGTTGTGAAAGACAGTTCATATCTCACTAAAGCTACTCCCTAGAAATCAGAGTGCTCATTCAGCCATCACACAACACAGAGGAGTGGGAAGAGTGTGGGAATGTGACTGGAGGGTCGCTGTGGTCAGCAGGGAGCTCTGTTTCCTCAACTATCTAATGGGATGGTGCTATCTTACCAGGATGCTTGAACATTGAGACAGTACTTATGATAGTTGTTCAAAACATTTAAAGCACCCGACAAGTGTTACTTATTTGATACAGGGTTCTATATGCAGTTGAGAGAGCCAGAAAGACTGTGTGTGTGTGTGTGTGTTCGTGTATATGTGTGTCCACCCTGTTGGTGGAGAGTTGTGATAAGATACACATGCATGTTTATACAGCGTAGTTGAAGGTGATGATGCGCATGTCTCTGATGGAGCTCAGTAGGGAGGAAGCTTCATGGCTTTGATAGATGGACCATAGCAGTAAACAGTGTAGATGGGACATTGACTTAACAAGCAAGTGTCAGACATAGCCCCCCCCCCCCCCCAGAGGTACTACTGTGAGGAAAGACACAGATTTTAGGAACAGATTGGGCCTGGGCAATCCATAGCATTGATTGGGTTGGATTGGAGCATCGGTTTGGATTTATACTGTGGGCAGTAGGAACCAGCAAAAAAATGTTGAGCCAAGGAAGTGTGAAGACTAGAACTGGGCTTTTAGGAAGAATAATCTGGTGAATAGTTTCAAACAGCCAGAGGAGGGAGAAACTGGAAGCTTTCCTTACTGGAAGGCCACTAGGAAAATATATAAAGCACCTTACATATTTCCCAATATTATTTTGAAGACTGAATGAGGTAGAAGTTATGGAAGTACATTTGGAGAGATGAGTCAGGACCATCCAGGTCCCGAGCATCCTAGGCTCCCAGCAGCAGCTGAGCACCCTGGCAGGTGTGCCTGGAAGCCAGGATGGGCTGTTCCCAGGGTGCAGAGGCACTGGGCTGCACAACCCACCCAGCCCATGGCAGTCTCCTCCCCTACCACCACCCTCATGCTTTGCCCTTCTCAGTACCACCACCTTTCACTTTGGCTCTCTCTGCTGCCTGGCTCTTGACTTCCTTTGTTTCTCATTGCAGGCCTGGGACTACACCTAAGGGCTTGATCTGTTTCCTTTCCAGGATTTGGCCTTGACTCTTCCCAGAAAGCTCTGCCCCTCCTTGTCACTTGGAATCACTTGTTCAAACCACCTCCTTTCCGACAGAGCCCTGGCTCCCAGGACCTCCCCAGTGTGCCCTCGCTGGAGTGACTGGCCCAGAGTGTTTTTAAAAGATCAAGAGATTAAAATTCTGCTGTTACCAGTTACTAGCTTGGATAGGAATTAGCTTTGGGTTCATCCAGGGTAAAAGGAAGATAAGATACATTTCTCCCTCCCTCTCCGACTGGGTTGTGAGGTTTAAATGAGGCAGTGATTTAAGGACTGCTTAGTGTCCTGTGAATATTGGTTGTCTGAGGTCTTTTCTTCTGACCTTCCAGTCCAGATGAAGAACATTTACTCCTGAGCTCAGCGTATCCTCATTTTCCGTCTCTCTAGACTCAGTTATATTTCTTTCTTCCCCTTTTGCAGAACCTGTGGTGTAAAAAGTTTAATTATTTATGCTCTGGCAGTTTCCACCAGTGCCTTGAAAGAGATTTGGGAGGTCCCAAGACAGGACATGCCCCACCTCTTCCTATAGAAAGAATGTTAGTATGTGTTGGCTGTGTGGTACTGCCAGGACTATACCAAGAGATGCCTGGGCCAGACAGATTTTCATGAAATCCTAGTAGCACTGTCCATTTTCATGAGAAAGTATTTGGACAGATGTTGCCCAGTAAGCAGCTCACCGGAAACCATCCATCTATGACCTGGGCCTGGCTTCCTCCCGTGTGTCTGCCGCTCGCTCAGTAAGCCTTGGTGGGTGGGACTGCCTAGGCAGCACTTAGCAAAGTCATGCTAACTCCAGAGCTTTGTGGCCTGAGTCCTGTGACCCTGTGTTGTTCCAACTAGTCTATTTTTTAAAACATGCAAGAACCCAAGTTTAACATGTAAGCATTGAAAGGGCCTTGAAACCTGTGACCTACACCCAACTCATATTTGAGCCATTCCTAGCTGGCAAGAACTTACCGTATCATAGGACACTTTCTGATGACATGGGACTTTTCAGTGATCTCTCTCTCTCTTTTTTTTTTTTTTTTTTTTTTTAAGATTTTACTTATTTATGCATGAGAGACACACAGAAAGAGGCAGGAACACAGGCAGAAGGAGAAGCAGGCTCCCTGTGGGGAGCCTGATGCGGGCCTGGATCATGACCTGAGCCGAAGGCAGATGCTCAACCACTGAGCCACCCAGGTGCCCCTCAGTGATCTCTTCTAAGGGCTCCTGCCAAGGAGTCCTTTCTTGATATCTGTGGGCATAGAAGTACCTGATGAAGGGGGGTGGTGCTCCGGGCCCATTGTACCTCCTCCACTGCAAGAATCTCTCCCTGGAAAACCTCCATTACTACCCTCTCCTACCACAAGTAAAAAGCCCCACCCCCTCCCCAAGGGAGGTTACCCTTTGGAGCTTTTGTTTGCCCCAGGGATGAGGGAAGTCTACCCCAGTGGCTTCCTACCATCCTTTCCCCTCTTTCTAGGGTGGACATGCCCCTGCCCTGTAAAGCAGTAATGGAGCCTGCTAGTTCACAGAGAAGGATGTCATACTTCCTGAGCAACTGCCAGGAACCAGGCAGTGCACAGAGAATGCAGACATTAATGCCATTGTCCGTTTGGAGAGCCTTGGGTTCAGAAAGTGAAGTGACCTGAGGTCACCCAGCTATGAGCAGCAGGCTTGGGTGGCAATAAGAACCAGCATCAGAGCATGAGCACTTAGCACCTGCTAGGCTGTGTGAGGTATGGAAGGCAGTGTGGCTGCTCTGGGCCTGAGCCTCTGGTCACCATGCCTGCATACGTAGGCACATGCTCCCCCATGTTTCCTGCCACCCCACCCCAAACCCATCCCTCTGTCTGCAGGTCTACACTATCCTGCGGGGGCTGTGCTCTCACCTATGCTACCTTTTTTCTTGGAGGAGACAAAAAACCAATTTGCCATCCCATGGTCTATCACCCAAAGGTTCCTTTGGCCTTCCTTGGTCAGGCTAAAAGTCCTGACTTCTCTGTTCTGAAGGACCTCTCCTGTAGTCCAATTTTCTGATCAGCCCTCCTCCTCCTCCCCCTGCTCCATAACCCTCCCTTGTCTCAGTCCTCATCCAATTCAGGTGGCCCTGTACATGTCTCCCTGCTATACTTTTGGCTTTGGATCTTTTCCTGGCCACTTTTTCTTTTTATGGTGGTTGCACTTCTTTCCAGAGCTTACCCCAGCTGAGCCCAAGCTGCTGTCATGACCACTGTCGACCAAAAATGTCTTAAATTCTCAGTCTGAAAATGATGCTGGGCACTGGGTTTTAAGCTTTGACCTACTCTTGGCATGGTGCTCCATGACTTTGCTAATACTAAAAGACCTGAGGTGGGGAGGGGGGCCAAGGAGGAAAGGTCCATACTCTGCACTCATTTATTTGGCACCATCTGTTCTTGCTTCTCAGGTACTCAGATAAGCTGTTTTTCCCCAAGTTCCTTCTCCTGGCGGCAGGCTGCCTTTGTGGATTCTTACTGTTGGGCTGCTGTTCAGCAGGACTCCTTGCAGGGCGATTCTGGACGCCTTCCACTATGGCTGCATAAGGTAACTGGGGATGTTTGCAAATTTCACCTGTTTGCTTTGTAGATGTGAGAACGGAGGCCCAGAGAGGCTATGCCAGTCCACAGCCACACACAGGTGTGTCGCCAACCAGCAGTGCTGTAACATGGATCATACAGCCATAGTGTTTTCCAGTCAAAAGAAACCTCAGAGGTTACTTGGTCCAGAACCTTCATTAGCCCATGAGGGGGCTGAGGCACTCTTTGGATTTTAGCCCTATTCAAGTGGCTGCCTCTTGTGTCTAAGTCACCTTTCTACTCTTTCTGCCCTACAGCATCTGACACATAGTAGGCTCTCAGTGCCTCCTGAATGCCTGGGTGGGCAGTGTTAGACAGGGGCAGAGCTAGGACTCAAACCTAGCTTTGGCTGTTGCCTTTTCCACTGGTCACAGGGTCCCTTGGGAAAAGTAAGGGCCAACATACAATTTAGTTTCCTCTAGCCAATGTGTTGCTAGAGCATTGGGAAGCCTAGTGATGATTCTCTGCGGGAGGGTGGGGGGGGGGGCGGGCATTGGCTGTAACACAGTCTTCGGGATAGATTCCTTTGCTTTTGGATGGGTCCAGATATTGCAAGGAAGGGAAGGCACACTGCATGGGAGACACCAGTGTCCTACAGAAAAGAGGTACAGTCAGGAACTCCGTGGTCGGGGGGGGGTACGTAGAAGATGGGCAGTGAGGAACTTAGCTGGATTTGGCAAGTTTGTGCAGGAGAATGTTCTCTGTGTAATGAAGTGGCTCCTTTAGGTCTTCTCTGTGTGTATAGAAGTAGGACTGTGCATCAGCCAGTCATTATTTTCAATCACTGGTTCTATTGTCCATCATGAAAACAAGTAGAAGATTTATGTTTCTTCTTCTTTTCTCCTCCACTGTGGGGAAAGCATGCTATTTTATTTTCTGAAAAGGCAGAAGCTAAAGTTTGACTCTCTCCAGCCTTGACCTATTGTGGAACACACAGCATCCTTCTTTTTTAAAAAGAACCATTTAAGTCCTTTGCTATGACTCAGGCCTCTTCCCCTGTTTGTTTATTGCATGCCATCAGGCACAGTGATGCCCTACAATGACTTCTTTCTTCTTTGGGGTTGGGCTTTTCTCTTTGACTTTTACTCTTAGTGTCAGTTGGGTCCCCATCAGCCCTTCGTGTCTTAGTATCCAGGCCAACAGAGAATAATAATATGGATGGGCATAGTTCCAGAAGCTGAACAACTGTGTTTGCAAGTCGAAATCCATGCAGTTATAGCTTAGATCCCTTTGTTCTTAGGAGAAAGGAGGTGGTAACTAGTTGCTGGGTTGGGCATTGATGGAGCCACAGAAAAAGAATGTATAATCTGGCTTGTTCAGTTTAAGAACTGGCAGAGATGTTAGAAATTGTGACTTTTAGAGTAGGAAGAAACACGAGGATCTTGATGCAGTGTAAGGTGAAGGGCACCTAGAGAGAGCAGCAAGCTGGGGACTCAGGACTAGTTGCTGGCTCCAAGACTAGAATCAGGTCCCTGGCCATCTACTGCCCCTGCAGTGGAGGAAGAGAAACTGTGTAGAGCAGTGTGGGCAGCCAAGCCTTCGGTCTTGGAATCACTTGTTCAAACCGCCTCCTCCAGTGTCAGTGAGAGACTGAGGAGCTCTCGTTTCTGGTGCTAGTAGTCTAGTTTATTTGGAAGAAAGTTTGGCTAAGAGATATTTCCAGATTCACAGGTTTGGGGGCAAAAATTAGAGTTGGGACCAGCCAAGTTGGAGGGACCCTGGTCATCACCCCAGACTTGAAAGTCCATTCCTGGGGAGCAAAGGATGATCCTAAGTTAGACAAGCCCTCATGGCGGCTAGAGGCCTGGTTTGAATCATTTCAGTACTGAATGAATGAGGAGATAGGAGGATTGTCAGTGTCTCTAGTCTCCCCACCAGCCAGCAGCAGAAAGGAGACAAGTAACTTCATCCAGAACCTCAAACTTTTGCCCAGTTTTTCACATGTAATTTCGGTGGTCAATCAAAAAAATAACCAGTGTACAAGAAAACCAAGAGAAAAATCAGAGACAGACCCACAGAACATCAAGATAATAGATTGATCAGATACAAATTTAAATAATCACTGAATAATCTGGTCAAAGAATTAAGATAATATGAGGAATTTCAAGAGAAGTGGAAATTCTTGAACTGAAAATAATAGATGCTGGAGAGTTGATTTTAGCCAACTCCTTGAAGACCTGCTTGCCGTATACTAGAGTGTATGCATGGCATCAGAGAGCCACACATGCAGTGGCCCCTTCCTCAGAGAACTCCCTGTCTGGTTGCAGGGGAGGTGAGAAGACAGATGTGTAGAGAGACACTGAGAGGGAGTAATCAGACAGCTGTTGGGTTATCGTGTAAACCAAGAGGAGAGTGTCCTTAGAGCGGTGAACTCTGTTCGGTGCTCTTGCAGAGGAGACAATATAGGAGGAATCAAACAAACTTACTGACCTTGGTGAAATCTTTAGTGACTCTGGCAGGAGTGATTTTAGGAGAGGCATGGGTGCCAGATGGCAGTGGTGAAGGACGGGAGGAGATGAGAGTGATGGTAATAGACAATTTCTTCAGATTTTTTGTTTTTTTTTTCCAGAAAATCTCTCTTGCTGGGAAAAGGAAGAATGAAGAACAAGCTGAGTGGTAGCTGGAGGGAAGGTTTGGGGATGTGGGAAATTTTGTAATAAGAGGGCGTTATAGAATACACATAAATGCTGACGGCAGCAAGGTAGAGAAGAGAGGCTGACTGTGCACTGCCTGGGGAGGGCCAGTGACACCTGCTGGGAGAAGGAAAGGTGCTGGCTTGTCCTGTTGGGGGGCAGTGGGGTTGTGATTGACTCTGCAGGCTCAGCCCAGGTTATATAGGGCCTCAGAAAACTTAACAGATGTGGAGGCTAAATGTTGGAGACAGTGGGAGCCACTGCAGGTCCCTGAGTGGGGGACCTTGGTGTTTCCAGGAGTTTATCCTCAGTGATGGAGTGCAGGAGAGAATGGGGGCAGGGAGGGAGCCACTTGGCAGGCACAGGGTGAGGCCTTTATTCCGGAGGCAGAAAAGAAGGGAAGCTCTCATCTCCAGAAAGGTAAAGAACAATCAAAAAGCAACACAGGTGTTTTATTGCTGACTAGAGGGTTATACTGAAGGATGGCCCAAGGTGACGTCAGTGTTTAGACCAGGGGTCAGTGAACTTTTCTTTGAAGGGCCAGATGGTCCATTTCCTTGTCCTGGTGGGGCACGCATCAGCCACAGCTCCCCAGCTCTGCCAAGATAGATGATGTGTGCACGGTGAGTTGTGGCTGGATTTGGCTCCCGGGAGTGGTTCCTGGCTCTGTGGGCTGAGAGAATAGTAGTGCAAGTGGCCAGGAACAGAAAGACTCTGGGCATCTCAGAAGGTGTACCAGCTGGACATGGAGGGTGAGGGAAAGGTCAGAGTCACAGACACGGCACAATCAAGGATTTAGGCGCTGGGTGACAGGGAGGCCGTTCACTCCTTGGAAGAAGTCTGGGGAAGGAGAAGGTTTTGGAGGAAACCAAATGGATCTGCTTGAACACATGACATCAGAGCTGCTCGCTGCCTGGAGTGGTGTCAGATAGGCAGTGGGCTGTGATGTGTCTGGAGGTCCAGGGTAGGAGGGGTGTGGACGCGTCCCATAGCAGTGTGTCAGAGGGAGGTGGTATTGAGCTGTGTGTTGGGGTGGGCTTTCCTAGAGAGGGAGTGTAGACAGAACACTATCTGAGGGCGCTTCAACACTGTGAGCTGCCAGAGGAGGAGGAGTTGGTGCAGGAGTCAGAGCTGGGGGTCGTGAGGAAAACGAGAACAGTGTGCTGCGCAAAGGAGAGCCAGGAGACCCTGTAACGAAGGCCTATGACAACATAGTGCCCTGTGTCAGGTGCTGCCAAGACATGGGGATGAAGTCTTTGTTACGGTTGGTGTTGTGGGTGGAACCCTAAAAGATGTATTGATGTCCTAATGCCTGTCCCCTCGAATGGGACCGTTTGTGGAAATAGGGTTGTTGCAGGTGGAATTAAGGTGAGGTCTTACCAGAGTAGAGTGTCCCTAATCCATTAGGACTAGTGTCTTCAGACATATACAGAGGGCAGAGATGTGACACACTGGGCAGGAGATGGCGTGTGACAGAAGCTAGAACAGAACACTTGGCTGCCTCACTGCAAGAGGCAGGGAAGGGTCCTCCCCTAGCGGCCCTGGCACCTCCATTTTAGATGCCCAGCCACCCAAACTCTGATGGAAACTGGGGTTTGAACAGCCCAGCTTGTGGACCTGGTCATGGCAGCCCTAGGGAACTGAAGCAGGTGGTCAAAGAAACTGAGGCTCCAGCCTGATTGGAGGAGAGAGTGATCCTATGTCAGATTTGAATGTCCGCGTGGCTTTGCTGGCCAGGCCAGATTCTGTGATCCTAGCTGCTTTATTTTCACATAGATTTCTTCTGTCAGCTTTTTTTAAAATTGTGATAAAATACACACTGCGTGAAATTTACCCTTCTAACCGTTCTCTGTCTGTCTTTTGTCTACTCTCCCATGTGCCTCCTATCGCTGAGGTCGATGTGTCCTTTTACATCTGGCTGATTGCGCTCCACACTCCACGTGGTGTTTTCAGGTTTGCTCACATGGCAGCATGATCAGAATTCCCCCCCTTTAAGGCTCTGTCCTACCCCGTCTGTGCGTAGACCACATTTTGTTTGTCCCCACATCCCTCGGCGGGCCCTTGGGTGGCTTCCGGCTCAGGGCTCTGCAGTTAATGCCACTGTGAACACACGTGTCCAGGGGCCTGTGCGAGTCCCTGCTTGCGGGTCTTGTATTTGCCAGGATGTGATGCTGCTGGGTCCTTTCTCAGAGTGTCAAAAGTTTTTCCTGATGGTTTTCTTCTGGTCTCTCCACATTTAGTGGACTTGTGATTGCTGAGCTGGCAAGGGCCCTCTCAGACACCTGCGGGTACAGGGGTAGGGGCTGGGTCCAGGGCCCCATGGCCAGCCGGTGGG